CTTTTAAGTCACATTGAAGGCGCGAGCCAAGTAATATCTCTGCATTCAGAGGTAAAAACGACAAACCTAGATAATAGGGTAATGAAAGCTCAAGAAATCTAATCTCCGAAAAGTACAGCTGTATTGATGGTTTGCTAGTGCACAATTCACCCCATTCCTGAATGTAAAACACTTTTAATGATTCGCGAGCTGTTTTTTCGTTGCTCAGATCAAACCTTAGTTCTCACTAGCAGGCTGTGCAGTGTGCAGGCAAATATGCAAATTCCTTTTCTTTGTTAACATTCAGCTCATGTTTCCTGGTTCATATGTTGACACAGCGGTCAGTCTGTCCAACAGAAGACTTTCCACAAGTGGGACACATCTTGTACACCACTCCTATCTTACATCTGGTATACACAGTACCAAACCTCTTGCTAGAGATAAATGAAAATTTTATTGTTAAAAATAAATTACAATGTGAAGCTTAGATGCACAAGATTGTTAAGAGCAAGCTGCATTGTGGGAACACACAATTTATCACGTTTTTTTTAAACCTAACTTCACTTAGTATTTAAAACAGGCATTTAGAATTGTGGTGCAGCGAAAATGACATCTCGATGTGGTTTTCTTCAAGAGCTGTGTTGGTGTTTGCAACTACCAGTAGACCTCCCTGAAAACGAAACATATTTCGGGAAAACAAAGCCTACATTTTTATTAGTAAAACAAACTTCCATTCGCTAAAGTCCGTAGGAGACATTCAGATTAGTTGGGAGGAAAGTATGCTAAAGTTTAATAAGATAGAACAATAATCATAATGAATTTTTATTATAAATTGCGCTTATTGCCATATGGGGCCATGCGAAATCACAGTGTTTACACTGTACCAATGTGTTGTAAGAAGCTATTTCTTTGTCACTGCTGTGTCCCATATTGTTGTCTTATAGAGTATAACTAGATATGGCAAAGGTTTCGAGTGAAGCAAAGGGGGAGATGCAAAGTGTGCAAAGTTTGTGTGCCTGCAAGAGTCATAGCTATGGACACAGTACAATAGAAGCACAGGGGAGGTTTTCACAATAATTTATTGATATGTGGGGTTTAACGTCCCATGACCATTATATGATTATGAGAGACGCTGTAGTAAAGGGGTCCGGAATTTTATACCACCTGGGGTTCTGTAACGTGCACCCAAATCTTTGCCTCCATCGGAAATGCAGCCGCCGCAGCCGGGATTCGATCCCGCGACCTACGGGTCAGAAGCAGGGTACCTTAGCCATTAGACAACCGCAGCGCGGCATGTTTTTACAATGACACACCGAACAAAGAGAAGGGTGTGTATGCAGAGCTTTGTTTAAACAATATGTTTCGGAAAAACATATCTGCTGGAATGAATGCTTTAATGGGATGCTTTGGTAGCGTGTCCCTAAATATGTTCATGCAGGCCTGAGAATTTTTTCTGCCCGGACAATAATATTGTATATGTCAATTCAGCAATGGAAATACTAATGGCAGGCTGGTGTCTGTCCTGGCTACTGCAGCACAGTAGCTTCTCTCAGCAGTAACCAAACTCGCCTTAAGAACGCCAGCCACCAGTCAAGAGCTGACAAAAAACAAGCTTCAAAAAAAAAGTAGGAGCAGCTAAACCAAATAAAACTCAGCTCATGGCATCTAAGAAAGGTCCCAGCTATGAGCTTGGTGGCCTTTAATGTACCCACAGTTTCCAATGATGTATATGACATGTTCCGAAAACTTGTTTTTCTCAGAACTTTATTTTTATTCTTTTATTATGCAAAAATTCATTACTTCTAAATGATCCTATATTTTTCAATGAAACTTCCCATGCTTCTTTATGGAAAATAAGTCTATGCAATGAACTAGGATAACTGAAAAATGGTGACAACTGTTGATGTTATATAAGGTTTCGATTGAAATTCAACCATCTGAAACTACCGAATTTTGGGTTTTTCACCAATAGTATGCTTAATATTGATGACAGTGCAAAGATTCTAGTTCATTGCACAGTTTTATTGTACAGCTACATTGCTGTCAAGCAATCTTTGTTTTGTGTAAAAAAATCGGTACTTATCGCTCTTCACGTGATGGGCTTATATTTTGGGTAATTCCTGTAATTAAATTGTGATCAGTTGCACTTTCCTTGCTCAATATATCTGACGTGTGTTCTTAAACAGCCATTTTTAAGGCAAATAAAAAACAATCAGTTTAGAATCACAATCTAAAAAGATTTCCTAAAAGGTGACAGTATACTTCGACTTGTGGCAAGTCTTTATTGTGTACAAACTGGGCACCAGGGAACATGAGCAAAATTTAAACAAAGAAAACAAATTCACACATTTTCTTGTGCAATCCAAAGCCTGCAAATGTGAATTGCTGTTTAATAACGTGAAGATCCCGGGTAGGAGCAATAAGCAAACTGCTCGTGGATCTTTGGAAGCATCAGAAGCTGGGCAAATTGTGCATTAGCAAACAGTCATTACAATTTTACTTCTGGGAAATTAGATTCTTCAGCGTCGGTGGCGCTGTTAGCTAGGTTTATGGCTTTAGGAACATGCATTAAGTTTTCCACGTAGATTCTTGGTGTCATGAAACAAATTCAGTTAGAAGTGCCACTCATGTTGACTTCCTCGTCTTCCTTTTGGATGCATGTTTTTTTTTATTGGCAAACTATGCAGTCACCATTACTTTAACTTGGTAAAAAATCTCCACAATTTAGGTGATTTGATTATTGCCTAACATAGTCAACAATCTCTAATGTAGGCCTTCAAGCAAAGTGACTTTGAAAAGGTGTTCATATACCAAAGGATTTGTGACAATGTGCCCTTACGCACACAATAGGTCACTGTTCCTACTTGTACGATATAACTATGTATAGCAAAATACAGCTGGAAGCTTCGCTCGTAGATGTAGACTTTATCCTCATACCAGGCCACCAATACTTTATCATGGGAAAAAAAATATCTGCAATTTAAGCGAATTGATTATTGCCTAGGGACGTAGCACCACTACTTTAACATAGTCAACAATCTCCAATGTAGGCCTTCAAGCAAAGTGACTTTGAAAAGGTGTTCATATACCAAAGGATTTGTGACAATGTGCCCTTACGCACATAATAGGTCACTGTTCCTACTTGTACGATATAACTATGTATAGCAAAATACAGCTGGAAGCTTCGCTCGTAGATGTAGACATTATCCTCATGCCAGGCCACCAATACTTTAACATGGGAAAAAAAAATATCTACAATTTAAGCGAATTGATTATTGCCTACGGACGTAGCACCACTACTTTAACATAGTCAATAATCGCCAATGCGGACCTTCAAGCAAACTTACACTTAAAAAATGTTATGTCCCCCTACATTCGATCTTCGCCTAAGCACAAGTTTGCCTTCACAGCTTTTAGGCTCCTTCCGCTTTTTACAGCATGCTCTCCCCGGTATACCTTCTTATGTCAGCTACCTTATGTGTATTGATTAACTTTGAAAGCTCCACCAGCTCTATTTTGTCTGTTGCATTTGAGGCTTGCATGGTTTCTCATCTCTTAATGAGATTTTTTATCTCCTAAGATAGTTTGCCATTGTCCTGTCTAATGACTGTACCTTCGACTTCACTGCACACTCTTGATGATACTAGTCAGATTATTGGTCATTGTGTTAATGCAAATGTCGTTTACCTCGTTTAGAGCCACGAATATATTCTGAAGAGAAACGGTTCTTTACCTCTCAATGCTACCTCATTCATTTGCTTCTAGCGTATCAGTTTCTGCTGTTGCTTTTTTTAGGTCTAGGTGAATTTGAGATCTTACTATTCTATGGTCACTACATAGGATCCTGCCAACCATTTTTACATCCTGTACAATCTCCCGGTGTGCACACAGAATAAAGTTTGTTTCATTTTTAGTTTCGCTATTTGGGCTTTGCCAAGTCAATTAACGGTTAGCCCGTATTCTGTAGAAGGTATTCAAGATCCGTAAATTATTACATTCTGCGAACCCAACTAATAACGTCCCTCTGCGCATGGTCTTTCGCTTGTTTCTTGCCTACTTTGGCATTAAAGTCGCCCATCAATATAGTATACTGTGCCTTTATTAATTGCTGACTCTACGTCTTCATAGAAGTATTCAGCTAAATGATTATCATGACTCGATGTAGGTGCACAGGCCTGTACCCGCAGTTCGTCCTGTACATTTTTGCTAAACTTAATTAATTAGTATACTTGGCACAATCTCGGTGATGCTATAGTATTCCTTCGTGTTGCCAGCGATCTTCTTGTGGATAAGTAACCCCAGCCCTAGTTTTCTTCCGTGAACTAATCCATGGTTAGCATAGGACGTGTCGGTTCTTCAGCACTGTGCAAGCTTCATGTGTCCTCCAAGTTTCGCTGAGCCCTATTACATCCCATTTAACGGCTTCTAATTTTTTTAATAGCACAGCTAGACTCTCCTCACTAGATAGCGTTAAACGTAGCCAAGCTCAAATTCCAGTGGTCACTGTTCCTAGTTGTACCACCTGATAAAACTATGTGTAGCATAATACAGCTGGATGGAGACTTTATCCTGGTGCCAGGCCTCACAGGTAGTGCCACAGCGAGTGCCATCGCAACTTCACCGAAATCGTGCTGACATAGGTGATGTCAGCTAAGTTAAATGCTTCACCCCCTTGATACTGGCATTCGTGGTAAATTTAGAAAGAAATCGGCACCATATAGGTGGCAACATTATCTTTATTTTATTTCACAGACTTACTTTGTCTATTGTAGTTACGGTGTGGTAGTAGCACTCCATTCATAAAGCCATTAGCGTCTTGTAGGTTGGAAACACCAAAGCTTCTAGTTCATCGAGCTTCTAGTTCTACTGTGTACTGTTTATTAGTAACATTCTAAAGCTATTTATGAAGCGAAACATTGGTGATTCCTAGTTTTTCCATACAGTAATGAGCATTTTAACAGTGAATTTTAACATTGGTATTTGGTTCTGCTGAAGTACATTCTATATAATTTCTTTTTCAGGCATATGGTTGGAGAATCAAGAGGCGTACAAAATCCGATGTTGCTGTAAGCACACAGAAGACAAAGGCCACTTTGTTTGCATCACATATTTTATGTAACTACATTTTGTTTTAAAAATGTGTTCACTTTTGAGACTTGCGATGCAAACTTGAATGCTAGGTGTGAGTTCAAATAAAAAGTTTTTTTTATGAGATGCAATGTAAAGCTTTAGCACAAGTTTTGCTAGAAAATTGTCATTTTTAGCTGGGAAGGCCACTTTGGTTGCATAACAAATTTCATTTAACTACAGTTTTACAAAATGTGTTCAGTTCTTAGACTTGTAATTCAAGCTTGAAGTACAGGTGTGATTTCAAATTTATGGGAGACAATAAAACTTGTTTTGTTTAAAAAAATGCTATGTAAAGCTTTGGCACTAGTTTTTCTAGAAAATAGTAATTTTTGGCTGTAAAGATGAAAAAAAAAGATGGTAATAGCATACACACACACACACACACATATAAACACACACGCTGCTGTTGAAGTGCACAGGATGTCAGTTTTATCGGCACTAGCGTTAGTACACAGTTATAAGACTAGAAAGTGTCCACGGCGGCAGTATAAACAAATGTTTTTGACACTTCAACTCAATCATGGCCAATGGCAGAAGCAGCAGTACTTGGCAGGTTCTCAATCACAGGCATCTATGGGCCCTTTTGCTACAAGAGCTTGCCACCAACTCTTGTCTTCTCCACAGAAAAAAAAAATGTTGGTCAACAGCCATGAACTATTTCTTCCACTACAGATGTCACACGGCAGATGAAGCATGAATTGCAGACGCGCACCAGCTTGTAGTAACCATAGCGAGGCAGTGTTATTGAATGGGCGCTGCACCGGGAACAGAAAATCTGCACAGAAAATGCACAGAACACTCTCAGTTGCTCCACCAAGCAGCAAAGATGTATGAAAGTGCACTCCTCTTTCCATGCACATTTTGACCCACCTACCTTTCCACACCTTCGGCAGTGATGCCTGTGGTGCAGCAGTGTAAAGTTTGTATTACAATCCATGCAGTTGGATGTGAATTCATCTGGCATTCGGACTGGGCTACCTGACGTGAAAGTTGCACTGCTTATACCCGTCACATCGTAACTACCAAACCCCCATTACCTCTGTTCAGCATTCAAATTCCTAATGGAGCTTTACAAGAATAGACTTTTTCACATCACATGCATGCTAGAAAAATTAGGGCAGGAAAGTACACCGTGCATGTGTGTCCGTCTCGCACGTGTTTAAGCAAACAATACTGTACAACACTGGCCGGTGGCGGCTTGGAGAGTGTTCGTGTTCTTAGTTTCAGTTTCGGTTTTGACTCTTTATGTGGCGCCTCGTGCAGCAGTGATATGTATCATGTGTATATATGTGTAAATAAAAGAGTTCGTGATGAGCAGTGGGACAAGGCAAACGTTCATTTCGCGCTCTGCGCCCGCTCATGTGGTGGCTTTCTGGTGTTCCCGCTGGCAGCAACGGCAAGCTTCAGTTCAGCGCTTCTTGTTCTTCGTCAGCGCCGTGGCCATGAGCCAGACACGACACAACAATTACAAAAACGATTTTGTTAGTGCGGTTTTCTTCGTAGCAGTAGCTATGTTGGAATGAGAGCGCTCCTTTAAGCCCAAATGGTCATTAATGAACTCCCTTTTTCAAAAGCCCCATTTAACTTCCATGGCTTAATTACCACATCTCCCTTGACAAAAAGATGAAATACTGAAATGGGGTTTTGTTGTGGTCGTGTGACAGTGGTATTAGCTTTTTTTCCAAGAAAGCGGTCGTGCAACACTTTGTGAACATAGCTAAAAAATGTTGTCAATCTGTAATCATGGCTCCGGTGAACATACGAGCAAGAAAAAATTCCTTGCTCTTTCATTCATAATGTTGTCCCCAACTATGCAGCAAGCAGTCCAGACATGTTGAATTTATAAATTGAACGCTGGCAGATAGTCTTGTAGGCCGCAGGTACTGCAGCCAACACGTGAAGTACTAGCCAATATGTTCAACGAAGAAGAGGAATACATCAAGACCATGATGCATGATGATTTAAACTTTTGTATGGCATATTGCCTCCTTGCCAGTTCTTTAGCTTCAAGTGCGCTTGTAGCGATGAAAGCGGTGGCACGCTTATACTTTAGAGATTCCAAGAATTTTCGCAACAAATTTGCTAGGCAGCAGTGGCCACTAGTAAGTTCATTATTTTAACTTTGGGAAGGCATTACAGGTCTTCTTTTGATATTGCAATTGATACAAACCGCAGATGAGTTCATTTACACTGGCAATAGTATTTTCAATATTTATGCCTAATCGGTTCGCAGTCCTTGCACCAACAAGGTGCAAGGTTAATTTTTATTATTTACATATTGAGATGTGTCGGCATTACTAACATTAACTTAACAGATATGGACGATGACATCATTTTCAAATAGGCCATGTATTGGTACAGTTATACAAGGCTTCACGCTTATACTTTTGAGTTTATGCTGTGCTGAATGTGGCATTCATCCCTTAATGCATTCCAGAATCTATGTTCAGGAGCTAGAAATGGCTATGAGTTTCCAAACTGCTCAGAAAAACTCGGATGTCTGCACATTTCATGCTACACACCAATATGCCACATCTATCAAATGCCAGGGCTGTAACGTCTTACGATTAGAGACTGGATTAAGGCAAATGTCTGTCTTGTACCTTGGGTTCCTATTGTGCCATTTTGATATATGAGCATGAATTATAGGTTAAGGGGAGATGCTACTCGAAGACACTTTTTTTTTATATTCACCCTAGAGTAATGAAACTTGAGCTGTTTATGGAACTTTTTATGCTGGTTTAAAATATATAAATAGTTTTTTTTGCAAGTTACACACGTTTAGCTCTGTAACATGACAAAGTGAAAACCTTAACCCTTTTGCCCCCCCCCCCCCCCTCTTTTCATCCCCAAACTTCTGTAATTTTTTACCATTCATAGTTCATAATGCTTCAAGTAAAGTGTAGAGTGCAAATAACTAATTAGGAAGCACATACAAAATATGTAATACCCGTGAAAAATAATAGACATAAAAAGTCTATATTTCACCTATCCTAGTAAGGCTATACATACAATTGTTTTAATATACAATAAAATATTAAGATTTAAACAAGATAATTGCATTTGTCGTACTTTGGAAAAAATTTGTGCAAAATTTCATGCAGATCCGAGCACTAGAAGTGCCCCAAAAAAAGAGGGGCACATTGGAAAAAATGGTAAAATTTGTGTTTTGAGAAAAACGAGTTTTAAAGTTAAAATTGAGTTTTTATTTATGAAAGATATCAATAAATCAGATGAAATTTGCACACCAAAAAGAACAGTCATTCTTGTAGTGGCCACTGCGACTAAAATATGCCAGCACCATGAGTTTGTCTCCCTCGGCTTTTTCGAGCTGACTCCTCAAAGACATTTCGCTCACAGACAGGGCCATGAAATGCTTGCCAAACTTCCGCTCCATCTGGTAGAGCCATGTGCCAAGTGCAAGCTAGGAAGAAGTTCAACAGGACTGCGAAATCCAAACTAAGTCCAGTGTCATGCCATTTTGCAGCCATGTTTGTGCCACATATCGTCGTACATAATGGCAATGTGGTCCCTGTTAAGTTCTCTCACTGTGAGCTCTTTCGACTTCTCAAGATTGGCGCTGACCTCATCCATTGCCGCATCACGAACTTTCCGGCTGACGGGTGTGAATTACTTTTGATGCATTGGCTTTTGTAAGCCAACAACTGCCGCAAATCGGACCACCTGCTCGTAGCCTATTCCTACAGAGCGCGCCGCACAATGGCTTTCACTTGAGCAATGCCTTTTTTCATTCATAACGAAGATAACTACATGAGAAAAGCATTGTTCAGCTGGTGCTCGACAATACATGGACCCCGCAAATAGGTTTCACAGCACATACCGGCGCGCAGCGGCCAATGGCGGTCCCCGATTCGTACCATGTGATAAGCCAGTCGCGGCGCTCGAAAATCGCGCAGACGAGTGCTTCTTTTTATTATTTCTTGTGCTGCATCAGCGAGAGAAACTGTTGTTATTTGAAGAGTGAGGCTCGACTCTTCGACTCATGCGATCAACAATGGCGAGCGGCGGCGCATTATCGGCGGCAAGGTGCTCGAAGACTGCACACTTTCGACCTTTTAAGCATCTTGTGCTCTTTGGATGCAATTTTAAAGCATTTCCAGTCAAGTCTCGACCTGTATTATTTTTTTCATAACAGTAGAGGTACTAATCTTATCAAAACAGGTGAAAATAAAACTCGGTAATTTAGAAAAGAAAAAATTCGCGTTTTTCGACCTGCATCTCTTCTTAAGAAGGGCTGTTATAGTGCCTATAAACACCTATTTTCTAAATCAGCACCTATATGAGCGCTAGTTAAGCCCAAACTTTGTTTTTGAGCACAGTTTGAAACCATTTATGTAAAAAAGGCAACACTGATATTTTCAAAAACTATGAGATTCAACGAAGTTCTCTAGTTATAGCAACTTCCGCAAAACAACCACTAACTGCGTTGAAATAGCGCTCGCTGGACACCATATGTGAGCGATTGGAGGAGAAGCATGAGGAGTGCAAAAGACACTATTTCTGCAGCCGTAAGTGGAAGAACTTCTCAGCGTCTGCAGGGGAATGAGGAGAAAGAATTAAAGATGAAATAAAGAAATTAAAGTGGCGTCTATGGCCTAGGACGTAGCGATCATCTTCTACAGACAGCTGTACAGTGTCCTGAAGGAACTGAAGAACTGCCCTGAAAACCTGGGTGTTGCGGTGGGAAAGGAACGGCTGATTTTTCTGTGCAGTCGCGGGTAGGTAGAGAACATGAATTGCCACTCATGGAATGCTCATGTTGATTCAGTGGTAGCCATCGCGACCCTAATTGCTTCCCTGCTTTCTTCGGTATCGAGGTTAGAGGATCACATGATGCATACGCACCAAGAACATCATGCGTAAGCAAGATCACACGCGCATGACGTGCCCCAGTTTACTCGTGCACATACGCCATCGATGTGTCATTTAGGCGATCTCTATTCCGTATTACCCATTGCTGTGGGATGGATCAGTCAGTGCACATACTTTTGGAGAGGCTGGCATGGATCATCTATCGTGACCGCGATGCACGACGTTCCTCTGCTGAAACTGAGGTGAGAGACTACACAGCAAACACAAGCTAAGCATTGTCAGGGTTGGTGATGGCAGGATGCAGAAATGACGAGAAGACGAATGCAAGCAAAATAGGGTAGTAGTAGTAGTAGTAGTAGTAGTAGTAGTAGAGGTAGTATGTGTGGTTTCACATTAAAAAAAAAAAAAGCTATATGATTATGAGGGATGCTGTAGTGGAGGTCACCGGAACATTTTACCATCTGGCGTTATTTAACATGCACTGACATCGCGCAGTACGCGGGCATCTACCTTTCTGCCTTCATCTAGATGTGACCACCGCGGCTGGAATCGAACTGGCGGCATTCGGGTTAGTAGCAGAGCACCCTAGCCACTGGTCCACCAGGATGGACGCGAAACGAGGGCGAATTAGCATATAGCATCTCGCGGCCACTGAAAACAAAAATAAAAATAATGACAAGCTGACATTTCGTTTGTATGTTTTATTATTTTTCTCAGATTTCGTTCACTATACTCATTTTGACAGGGCAGCACAAAGACACAGGGAAAAGAAAGACATAGAGACAAAGAGCGTTTCTTTTCCCTTTGTCGTTGTGCTTCCCTTTCAGGATGATATGAAGCAGCTCGCCCAAACTAATGTACTCCTCATTCATGCTACACAACAGAACACGCAAATTACACATTCCAACTAGAATAAATTTATGTGCAACGTCCTTAAAGAGGTACCATTTATAATGCACGATATAATCAGGAGACGAAACATTTCTCGTCTGTTTTGTTTAAAAATAGCTAGCATTTAACTAAGTTCTCATGATGAGTGTATGGTGAGCAATGTCTAAGCACCAATGTCAACGTAAAGGAGCGACATGAAAACAGGACCATTCCTTACTGTACGTCACTTCCTCCATCTTTGGGTGCACACCCGCGAGAAGAGCAAGTGGCATTCAATAGAAATTTTGCATTTTTCTGCGACATGTAGCGCTGCGAATCTTAATAGGCATAATCTTGAGTGCCCAGCACATCCATTAAGCTTGTCAGCTCAAAATTCCAAACCTAGTGAAGTGTCCTCTAAGCTGTTCTCTGACAGGGGAGAAATTGAGCGTACCCGATTAAACCTGGCATCCCACCTTTCTGGGGTATCAGTGGTCTGGTTATTACTCCTGCGCTGCCCTTCCCAGCCAACGCAAAAGGAAAAAGACCCAGAAGAGTGTTAATTGGATGGTGGACACTTGACTCACTATGCTAGACAATAAAATGAAGGACCC